AGGAGCTTCTAGACCTTGCCCTATATACCTCCTCATCTGGTCGTTCTTTTGTATCCTTTACTGTAAACCAGTACAACAAGTAAACTGTTTTCCCTGAGTTCTGTGAGCCATTCTAGCAGACAATTAAACCTGAGGAGTGGGTTGCGGGCAACCCCACCACCAACTTTATGGCTGATCAGGCAGAAGTATGAGTGGCCCAGACTTGAGTTGGCATCCGAAGCAAGGGCATTCTTGTGGGACTGAGCCCTTACCCTGCGGGGTCTACAGTAACACCAGGCAGTCAGCGTCAGGTTTGAATTAAATTGTAGGATGCCAGTTGGTGTTTGAGAGTTTGAGAATTAGTTTGTGAGGGGGAAAAAAACCCGACACATTTGGTTCCAGAAAACCAATGGTGTGAGTAAAAACAGTTTATAGTACACTCTTTCTTAGGATGCTCTACCTAAGAAAGAAGACCCACCGGGATAACTGAGGAAGAGGACAAACGGGACCCAGGAAACGGGTTCCAGTATAGGTGAGGTGAGGGAATCCCCAGAAGGACAGGGTACCTGGTGAAACATAATAAAGGGAGTTACGGGAAGCTGCCCCTTCTTGGGGGTCCTGACGGGCAGCAAGATGGCGTCTGCCGGCAGGTGGTTCAGGCAGTCGAGCCGCCTGCTCCAGAAATGAGGCTCCCTAGCAGAGGAGGTCGTCCGAAACCCCGTGTGTCAGAAGTTCTGAGACAGCAGGACTGCCACCTCACTCTTCTTCAGTTTCACAGCATGTGAAGGGAAGTAGATCGCCAGCTGCACCAGACACTGCAGAAATAATAACACGTGACCTCAGAAATATGGAAGGAAACCTGGGTCTCAAGAAGAAACCGCATTTAGCCAACGTGGCGGTCCGCAGTGATCACTGGCACTGGCTGCTGTCTGTCATGGGACAAAAGAACAGTCTTTACACTAAAGGACTTCCAGAGCGACAAATGAGAGAGTGTACACGAAGCAACTTTAATAAACTTTCTTTCTTTTTTTTAAATTTTTTTATTGATTATGCTGTTACAGTTGTTCTATTCCCCCCTTCATTCCCCTCCACCCTATCCCCCCATCCCCACCATTACCCCCCCCTTTAGTTTATGACCATGTGTCTCAAGTCCTTTAGATTCTATATTTCCCATGCTATTCTTGCCCCCCCTTCTATTTTCTATCTACTGTCTATGCTACTTATTTTCTGTACCTTCTCCCCCCTTCTCCTCCTCCCACTCCCCTGTTGCTAACCCTTCTTGAGATCTTGATTCCTATGTTTCCACTCCTGATCTAGCTGTCCTTTTAGTTTGCTTTCGTTTTAGGTGTGGTTGTTAATAACTGTGAGTTTGTTGTCCTTTCACTGTTCATGTTTCTTTAACTTCTTTTTCTTAGATAAGTCCCTTTAACATTTCATATAATAAGGGCTTGGTGATGATGAACTCCTTGAATTTGATCTTATCTGAGAAGCACCTTATCTGTCCTTCCATTCTAAATGAAAGTTTTGCTGGATAGAGCAATCTTGGTTGTAGGTCTTTGGATTTCATGACTTGGAATACCTCTTTCCAGCCCCTTCTTGCCTGTAAGGTCTCTTTTGAGAAATCTGCTGACAGTCTGATGGGTACTCCTTTGTAGGTGACTGTCTCCTTAGCTCTTGCTGCTTCTAGGATTCTCTCCTTCATTTTAATTTTGGCTAATGTAATGATGATGTGCCTTGGTGTGTTCCTTCTTGGGTCCAACTTCTTTGGGACTCTCTGAGCTTCCTGGATTTCCTGGAAGTCTATTGCCTTTGCCAGATTGGGGAAATTCTCCTTTATTATTTGTTCAAATAAGTTTTCCACTGGTGGCTGTGCCTTTCCCCCTTCTGGTACCCCTATAATTCGGTGTTGGAGTGTTTAAAGATGTCCTGGAGGTTCCTAAGACTCTCCTCATTTCTTTGAATTCTTGCTTCTTGACTCTTTTCTGTTTGGCCATTATTTGCTTTCTTCTGGTCCACTCCATTGATTTGAGTCCCAGTTTCCTTTTCATTGCTATTGGTGTCCTGTGCAATTCCATTCATTTCAATTAGTTTCGCCTTCATATGTATATCTAATTTGTGGCTATAATCAACCAGTTCTGTGAGGATCCTGATGACCAGTGTTTTAAACTGTGCGTCTGAGAGTTTTGCTATTTCTTCTTTGCTTAGATCTATGGGCTCTGGGGCTTTGAGATCTTCTTGGGACATTTTTGGTCTGTTCTGGCCCTTTAAGTGTGAGAAGCGGTGACTTGGACTCCCAGGTCGCAGGGTTGTGACGCTACATGTGGGGGCGTGGTTAGAGCAGGGAAATGGCGACCCCCTCTGCTGTTTCTCACAGCCAGGTGAGGAGCAGCGCCTTAGGTGGTTCACCTGGGCCGGTCCACTCAGAGTCGCTGGGTTATGACGCTGTATGTGGAGGTGGAGTCAGAGCAGGGAAATGGCGGTGCCCTCCACTGCCGGTTGCCGCGGGGACCTGCCCGGCCTGGTCCAACCGCCCACTCCCTCGCCTGTCCACCCGCGCACAAATGCGCGACCACAGTCAACACGCAACATTGCTCCCCCGCTGTCTCCCCCGCGGTCGCTCGCCTGGTCGCTCACTCGGTCGCTCACTAGGTCCAGCCCTGCGCCTGGATTCCGTGCGTCTGGATTCTGCGCCTGAGTCCGTCTGACCGAGTCCTCCTGTGCAACCCTGCTTCACCAGTTGCTGGTTTCGCCCCTTACCGGTCAGGCTGAAGAATTTGTTGTTAACGGACTTCCGAAAAGTTCAATTTTCTGTGTTCTGGCTGTGTTTTCTGTTGCTAATATTTAGTTGTCTCTAAACTTGGTTGTGTGAGGAAGCACGGCACATCCACCTATGCCTCCATCTTCTTAATAAACTTTCTATAAACAGAAAAACTATATAAAAAATTTAGATGGACACTTGTATCTCATACTTTATGTATCTTGGTCAGCTTCTCCACAAGCTTACCTAATTGTGGAGAATAAGTATAAAATGTGTACTTTATATTTACTCAAGTACACATTTTAAAATGTTAAAAAAAATAGAGTTGTACACTTTTTTATTACCTCCAGGGAAAATAAATATTACACAAGGAATGAAATGTCACCATAGCATACATCATGGCTTGGCTACAAATAATATTTACATAAACCTAAGAATATAACTCTTAATACTAATTTAACCAAAATTTGACATAATTATATTGAATGATAAAGCGGAATAGAAAAAAATTCTGACCTTCCATTATAAGAATTAAATAGGTAATATAATGATTATTTTATCTTTTGCTTCATAACAAATTACCCCGAAACTTAGTGACTTAAAAGAACAAGTATGTATTCTTACCTCGATGTCTATGGGTCAGGAATTTGGAAGCAGTTTAGAGGTCGCAGCTGGTTGGTCCAGCGTGCGGACCACGGGCCGAGGTCATCTGAAGGCCCGATGGGGCTGAACTCCCCCGCCTCACCCAGGTAGCTGCAGGAAGAGGCCTCGGTTCCCCTCCTCATGGGCTTCGCCTCAGGAAGGTGCTGTTACCTGACTTTCCCGGGAGCAGGTGGTCCAGGAGAGACGGTCAGAGGGATGTACAGTGCCTTTTAAGCTCTGGCTTTAAATGTGACATACCGTCATCAATTCTCTGTTCCATCAGTCACACAGACCAACCCTGGGACTTGGTGGGAGGGGACTGCACAAGGGTGTGAACGCCAGGAGGCGGGTGGATCACTGGGGGCTGTTTGGAGACCAACTATCACAAGTAATAACTAAAAGTGAAAACTCAAGAAGAGAGACTATAGGCATATCGCTTAGAAAGGTAGAATACCAGAAGAGGTTGTTCCTGGGAGCAGGAGACGGAACCAGAAACCACTGGTTTTCATTATCATAAGCCCATAGAACAACTTTAAGAAATATGTGTATGTGTTGCTGTGATTCTGTTTATTATGAAGAACCCCCAAGCACACAGTCATTTGATGTCCCCGACACCAGTGGTCAAGGAGCACGGGGACTGGGGTTATTTGAGGTGCTCATGTAATCTGAATCTGGGGCGGATCCGTCGGTGTTGGGAAGACTGGGTGTGTGATCCTGAGATGAGTCTCAGGCAGTGAGACAGTGACATTCGGTGAAAGGGGGGAAAAGACAGTTTTGCTTTTTCTGAAGAACAGATCGTTCTTAAGTGAAAATGCTTATGCAGCTTGGAGCTATAAATGGCAAAGCTTATGAAGGGAATATCCTTTTGACAGATAATTGGAAAGGACTTTGTAGACCTCCCTAGGCTAATGATGCATCAGTGAGGCTTTGGCACAAATCGGAGAGTTTGCCTCCATCCCTGAGGGAGCTGTGGGCCCGCGCCCCGTGGGCTGCGCGGTGCACAGCCAGGCGTCGGCACAGCCCCCAGCCAGCGGCTGCCACTGTCATTTTCCTAAGAGGAACTCTGGGTTCCTTGGGGTCTGCCTCAGCCTGGTTGGTACCCAGGGACACCCCCCCAATTCTGTGCCCACTATGCCAGCCCTGTCCTTGATCTCCACGTATGTCCCCTATTCAAGTTTGGTCTCGTTTCTCCTCATCTTCAGTCACCATGTAGGTACTCTTCTTAAGGAACCTGTTGTTCGGGGCCTCAGGGTTCTTGGCCAGTTTGTCTGTTTCATCTGCTTTGTAGTAAAACTGGGATCAGGGTTCAGTGTGAGAGAAATTGGGTCCCGGAGCTGGTGAGGGGTTGGGAGGGGTGCAGGGAAGACTGCCATGCAAGTAAAAACTGCCACTTACAACATTCAGACTTACATTTTTTAACCACTCTGAAATGTGTTATTTACCTTCTATTGTAACTGAGTACGCCGAATCAAAAATACTCAAGGGACTTCATGATAAACCTCAGCTGTCACGTAGTGGGATGTCTTTGAGCCATTCCAGTGGGGGGTGGGTTACACTGGGGAAGGGGCAGGGTGTATTTGCATTTCTCAGTTTCTCTCTTTGTATTTTACTTTGTCCGCAGATTGGCGACCACAAATTCAGCGCTCACCGGATCGTCTTAGCCGCCTCCATCCCATACTTCCACGCAATGTTTACAAATGACATGATGGAGTGCAAGCAGGATGAGATTGTAATGCAGGGAATGGACCCCAGGTACCAGACTCCTCCCTTCGGTTTACTGGCGCTTCCAGGCCCACTCTCTGCCCTGCGTCTGGTGCCCCTCGGGGCCTGCAGCGGGACACAGTGTCTGTGGCACAGCTCCACGCACGTACTGATTGGTAAACAAGCCAGAACCTCAGCTGGTGGCCCGAGTCAGGGTTGATGTGCGGAGAATTTTGATATGTTGTTTTACTCTGTTAGCGTGTATATTTAGTCAGAACTGAAGTTCAAGATGCGATTTTTGGCTGAGACAGGTACAAAGCGATGGTATATAAATCTCTGTAGTTTTACGTGCTAGCTGTTTTAGCTGGCAAAATCTTTTTATTTTTTTTCCTTTTAATCCTCATCCAGGTATATGTGTATTGATTTTAGAGAGAGAGAAACATGGATCGGTTGTCCCATGTGGCCCCCGAGCAGGGATCAAACCCACAACCTACATATGGGCCCTGGCTGGGAATCAAACCCACAACCTTTGGTGCACGGGAAGGTGCTTCAACCAACTGAGCCACTTGGCCAAGGAAAAAATCATCTTTCAAATAAGCGTCTTCTCATCAGTCTAGAGTAGTGTCATCCATTAGAATGCTGCGCAGTGATGAAAGTGTTCTCCAGAGTGGCGGCCACTAGTCTACATGTCGCCGTGAACGCTTGAGATGTGACTGGTGGGATGGAGGAACTGAATTCTAAATTGTATTTAAGTTCAGTTCATTTAAATGTAATTTTAAATAGCTAACAGGTGACACAGGTCTGGAAGGGAGCAAAAAACATGCTTATTTGATGAATAAGAATACGGAAGCCCAAGGGGTCAGGCTCAGAGATTATCCCGTCTAAACATCTTTCATCCAAGACAGGCCTTCACAACAAGGAATAGTGTTGGCCTAAACGTCCATAGTGCCAGTGTCGAAGGTTCCTTCCTAGAGTAATTTTCGGGGTAGGAGGCAGTGCTCTCACCCCTGAAATCTCATCATTTAGGCGCTTATTTGAAGTTGTTCTTATATCTAGAGTCACGTAGTCCTGGACACTTTTTGTGAAAATACTGTCCTGATTTTTATCTAAAGACTTTTTAGAAACATATTCCATAGTATGCCTTTTGGGGTCTTGAGAGGAAAAAGGCATGTTTATGTCAGTCACTTAAAAGATTTTTCTGCAGCCCTGGATGGTGTGGCTCAGTGGACTGAGCTCCAGACAAAGGGTCGCTGGTTCGATTCCCAGTCAGGGCACATGCCTGGGTTGTGGGCCAGGTCCCCAGTAGTGAGCAAATGAGAGGCAGCCACACATTGATGTTTCTCTCCCTCTCTTCTTCCCTTCCTCTCTATCTAAAAATAAGTTAAATCATTTAAAAAAAGATTTTGCTGCAAATCTATGAATTAGTCTCTTTGTTTATAATCTAGTCCGTGTTCGGAGTTCCCTGCACACCTACTATGGGCCTAACATTTTTCTGGGGTCTGGGAATGCAACAGCAAACGTGACACAGGGTGACACGGGGCAGTGACAGTCTCGTCAGTGGAGAGACAGTAAACAAACCAGTGACTCTAAAACACTAGCCAGTAACCTCATTTGTTGCCTAATCTCACGGTGGGGAAAACTCCTGGGAAAGGAGCCGGGAAGGTGACTGACCCGGTGCATGGAGAGGATGCACAGAACCCGCTGCAAGGCCAAAGTCACGGGCCAGGAAGTTGTAAGGACAGACACAGAAGGGTCTCAGGGGCAGGGTGCACTGTTTTCTCCGAGGCCTGTGTCTGAAGGAGCCGTGCTGGTCCCCGTGCACACTGCAGATGCCTCCTTCAACGGAGGTTGACCAGGCCCCTGTGGTGGGTGTTGAGGTTGGCCCTGGGGCACAGGACAGAACGCACCTCTGTTAGCAATGGGGATCTGGCAATAAACAGTTACAATGAGTTGTCAGGGCAGTGAGAGTGATGTCCGAAAAGGAAAGCGGAGTAAAGGCTAGCGAATGATGGTGGCGGTCTATGCCATTTCAGGGTGATCAGGGAAGGCCTCTGTGATGAGGTGACTTTTGACCTTAATTGGAGTGAGGGAGTGAGCCATCTGGGGGAAGAGCCCTCCAAACAGAGGGAGCAGCCAGTGCAAAGGCCCTGAGGTGAGAGCGTGTTCAGCATGTTGGACCAGAGTGAGGGCGGACAGAGTGGAAGGTGGTCAGGTCAGAGGGTGGAGAGGAGCCCAGCCACACACGGCCCTGCAGGCGGAATTTAGACCTTATTTTCAGTGCATTAAAAGGGAGAAAACATGTTGGGAAGCTCATTCTGGAAATGTATTCCAAAGAAATTGTAATCTAAAACCATTGTTTTTAGTGGCAATAAGACGGTGATAGCTATTATGCCTAGCAATAAAGAAAATAAATATTTCAGCATATTCATACGTGGCAGCCACTAAAACCAGTAAACATGAAGGCAGTGTAGCAACGTGGTAAAGGGCCTCATAGGTATTGTATAAATAGTTACACAATTTATGCCTGGAGGCAAATAGGGACTGAAAATGAACCTAGAAAAATGGCCGCCATTGACCTGCTCAGTAGTGGCAATGTGGGTAATTGCTTTTTCTTTTTAGAATTTTCTCTTGTGAAATCATTTGGGCAATAAAGACAAGAAGTAGAGCGAGTCTGGCCATGGTGAAGTCACTGTTCCACTCAGACGGGTTCTGAAAGGGCTGGGGTTTGAAACAGGTTGTTTAGAGCAGGGCCCATCCATTCCCAGGAGGAATGTCAGCTCACTCAGGGCCCCAGTCTCTGGGGCCAACACCCGTCTCTAAAGAGCATCTTTCCTCTTTCATCTAGCGCCCTGGAGGCTCTGATCAACTTTGCCTACAACGGCCACCTTGCCATTGACCAGCAAAATGTCCAGTCATTGCTGATGGGGGCGAGCTTCCTGCAGCTGCAAAGCATCAAAGATGCCTGCTGCACGTTCCTCCGAGAACGGTGAGGTGCTCTGGGGGGCCTGGCCTGTGATGGGGAGCATGACCACTTCATTTCCGGGATCCCTGCCACTTAGCCAAGTCCTGAGAGCGTGGAGAGTTTTACAAAGGGCGGAGCTGGGAAGGGACTCCGCAGAAATGATCTTTCTTGAAATCAGTGTCAGGTGGTGCTCAGGTGACCCTTTGAGGAACATGACTTACAAAGCCCTGCCTGCACTTGCCCTTGGCCTGCCCATACCTCTTCTTCCAGTCCTCTGTCCAGTCTGATCAGCTACTAATGCAGCTGTCTGTTCTCACCCCGCTGATGTTTTCGGTGCTCCCTGAATGTTCCACAGACATCTCTTCTTTGTTTAGATCCTTCACCCTCCTTGAAATTCTTGATCTTTGTTTTCCTTTCAACTCTTTACGAGCCCACCCAAGTTTTACCTCCTGGAATACTCTGTCCCCCTGAGCTCCCTGGGAGCAGTCACTGCGTGCTCTTTTAGGGTCAGGACCATGGGTTTATCCTACCTACATCCAACCCTTGACAATGAACTTTTGATGACTGAGCAGATAAGAAGGATCTTCCTCCCCTTCAAGACGCAAGCAGAGCTCTTCGTCTTCAGGGAAAACCTGCCTTTTAACCAGTAGAGCCTCGGACACGAGAATTAGTGCTGCACTATGCACAGGCAGGGAGAAACCAGAGCAGTGAGCGCGCCAGTGTCTGTGCTCTCCCAGGCCTGGTCCCCACCCGAGTACTCTGACCGCCAGGTCCCTGGCCTGAAGACCGGTGTTCCTCTTGCCTCAGATCTGCCCTTCTGAACCTCGTCCCCTCTTAGAGCTGACCTCTCCCTCTCTCACTGCACCAGCCCAGTTCACTTACCAGCTCTGTGAGCCCTGCCTGCTGTCCGTGTCCTGCCTTTATGTTGCTCAAGGACATCACTGGGCACCTCTGTGTGTGCAGCCAGTCTTAGTAGCCACAGTGATGATGCCTGCCTAGCATTGGTGGGAGGCGGGGAGGTGTTCTGCTGGGTGCATGGTGAGTGGTTTCATCATGAGGTAGGTTGTCTCGTTCCAGATTCTGCAGATAGAGATTCGGTAGTCCCAGAACCTGGCCTGCCCCTGCCCTGGGATGCCACCTGATGCAGGCTGGAGGGCTGCACCTGGGAGTGTGGGGTGGACAGTGCCTTGCCTACTCATTTGTAAGCTTCTTATGGACACAGACTGGGCTGTTCCACTCTGTGTTCCTAAGAGTTTGAAGAATGATGGAGTAGGCATTCCGGAAAGCATTAGGTTGGTGCTGGCGACTCTCACAAAGGACAATAGCTCCACCTAGCGGCATTGGAGGTCATCACCGTCAACACTGGATCCAGGCTCTGTTACAAAGTCGGGTCATCTAAAAGGTGCTTAGAGAAGGATTTTTAGTGCAGTTTTCTCATGCCCTGATGCTACAGCCTTTTTAGCTCTGGGCCTCACTTTTCCATCTGAAAACGAGAGCAATTACTACTTTACAGTGTTGTTCCAGAGATTCTGGAGAATGTGTGTGTCCTAGACTCACTGATGGAGATAATAAGTGATAGCTGCCTAGGTGTTAAACCACCCGGAGAGCCTCTATCTGTGTAAAAACAGAAATCAGTGTAAGGGTCCCAGTGTTAGAGAAGCCATTTCTCCTCCAGGAGTAAGCTCTTGTTCCACAACTCCGGCATCTTCCTGGTGACCAGCGGTGGATACTCAGCCAAGAGTGTCAGCAGCCCAGGGACAGCAAACTGGTTCTCAGTACGTGTCCTTTTCTTTCCTCCCGAGAGCTTCCCGGAGAGCGCATCCCACCCAGCCGCACAGAGCACCAGCCCGCGAGGCAGACCCTCTGAGGATCATCTGTCCTGATTTAAATAATACCTTTGCAAGTGAAGTCCCAAAGACACACCTCGTGTGACACTGGGAGTTTCTCCAAGGTTGAGGACAAAATTTGTGGGAGTTTTTTGTTGTTGTTCTGTGGCTTCTCCCAGAGCCAACCTGAGAATGATTTGAAGATCAGTGTTTTTCTTCCTCTGAAGTTTTCATTTCTTTCTTTCTTGTGCAAAAGGCTTCACCCTAAAAACTGCCTGGGAGTGCGCCAGTTCGCGGAGACGATGATGTGCGCCGTGCTGTACGACGCAGCCAACAGCTTCGTCCACCAGCACTTCGTGGAGGTGTCCGTGTCGGAGGAGTTCCTGGCCCTGCCGCCAGAGGACGTGCTGGAGCTGGTGTCCCGGGACGAGCTGAACGTCAGGTCCGAGGAGCAGGTGCGTGGAGCCCGGTGGCCGTCCGCCGGCCACTCGGCTGCGGCTCTCTCCAATGTTTGTTTTCCTTTTCTTTTCATTATTTTTTTAACAAAATGAAGAGCATGATGTGCATGTAGTTGGTATTTATTATTATGGGTTTGTTATATCATGGGCATTTTTCATGATTTTACAATCCAAATATTATTCCATTGATTTTATCAACCCTGCTTCCTTGATTCTTGGGTATTTGGGTTATTTCCAGTATCTACCATTAAAAATTATGTTGCGTTGAGCTAGAAATCAGTATAGGTAACTTTGGAAAGAGTCTTTTTCTAAAGGAGAGCAGAGCCTTGGGGCCGTTGCCAGTGGGGAATATGAAGTCAAGAGGGGTTGGTTTGTTAAGATGAGAGAAACTATAGTGCAGTTTGGCTGCCGTTGGGAATTTTCCAGAAGGCAGGGAAGAATTGTTAACGTGGGAGAAAAGGGAGAGGCCTTGATGTCCTGGGGGGGTGAGAAGGGACCCATCCCAGGCACCAGGACAAAGATTTGATAGGCATGCTCCACGCAGGGGGCGGGGAGGGAGCAGGGGGGGAGGGGAGATTCTGGTAGAGTCTATTCACATTCTCGTCTGATTCGTTTCAGCTGAGAGTGAGAATGAAGGAGCGTTAGAAATTGAGGAGAGATGGCTAGGTATGAACTGGGCCTCTGGGGGAGGGCGAGAACGCGGAGGGCGCTAGGGAAATGGAGGGCGCTTGGGAGGAAGCAGGGCCTGATGGCAGGAGCAGCCGCAGATGTAAGACCAGCGGGTCTGCCCTGCTGCACGTTTTGTCAGCCACCCGCAGGGGGCAGGTGCAGAGTGGGGGTGAGTGAAGACACAGGACTCACCAGAATAGGGGTTTGTGTACCGGTGAGTGTGAGGGGACGAGTGCGTGTCGTGGGAACTGAGGGCACTGCGTTATCCCCCAGGCAGCCCATGGGTAAGAGAGAGGTGAGCGCATAGGCTGGGGTCGGGGGGAGGCCCGAGAGGGAGGCTGGAGGAGGGGCAGCCGTGTCAAAGGCTAATGGGCACCCATTACTGAGCTGTAAGGATTGGAGGTGGTGGCAGGTACTAGCGCACTCAAAATTACGGAAGAGGTGGACCTGCTGGCAAAGCCAGGAGTGAGAGCGCGCAGGTCCTCCAAGGACAGAGAGGACATGTTCTTGGGGTGGTCAGGAAAAAAGTGAGTGAGAGTGGAGCCAGAGAGGCCCGAAGGGCGACCCTTTCTCCTCAACAAAGACGGGGTGCAGGTCATGTGAAGACGGTGGTGAATACTTTGAGCGGAGGGCGGCAAGGGCTGGGCAGTGAAGGGCGTTGAATGCAGGGGTGGAAGTACGGACACGGCCCTGCAGGCACTGGGAGTGCCACCGCCGCAAGGCCTCTGCCCAGTCCGTCCACCGGAAGTCTGACCAAAGCCGTGGCAGAGCAGCTTGGGTGTTTGGAATCAATCATCCGGCCTGACCTCAGCGGGAGGAGCCCCAGGCCCCCGGAGGCAGGCCGTTGGCATGTTAGTCTTAACTCAGCTCATTTCTTTAATATCTAAAGAGCCCTCAGCCCTGAATAAGAGTGAGCAGTAGAAGAGCAGACCGTGAGCTCGCTCATCCTAAGAGCAGGGAATGTGACCTGGGCAGCTCGTGTATTGGAGTGATACATGTGTGAGGGCTGGAGGGTTTGGGGGAGAGATGTTCCTGTGACTAGAGCCATTGGGGAGGGCTCCTTGGAGGACATGGATCTTGACCCAGATCATAAAGGAAGGGGAGCGGGTTTAGATGAAGAGGAAATGAGGGGACATTCTAGGTGAAGCGGACAGTGTAAGCAGAGGAATTAGCCAGGCTGGTGGAGGGTCTTAGAGGGAATTTAGGAGCAGGGCACAGGAGCAGCAGGAAGGAAGGCAAACAGGGTTTTGGTTGCAAAGCAGAAAGGAATAAGGAACCATTAACAGGTTTCCATAATGAACTGTTAGTCACCTAGGTCTGTGTTTCGAGTTTGGACCAAACGGGAAGCTGGGGAAGTAGAAAAGCGTGGATTCAGGAGACAAGAGAGAAGGACGAAATGATCCAGGGACAGCCTCAGGAGAGGGAGTGGAAGGGCTTTAGGTTGAGGGGCTTGGGGATGTGGCCTCCGACTGGGAGGAGTTGCTTCCAGAGCTCCCGCTCTCTGCCGTGGCAGGTCTTTGAAGCCGTGCTGGCCTGGGTCAGGTACGACCGGGAGCAGAGGGGGCCCTGCCTGCCTGAGCTGCTGTCCAATATCCGCCTGCCCCTCTGCCGGCCCCAATTCCTGTCAGACCGAGTGCAGCAGGATGACCTGGTGCGTTGCTGCCACAAATGCAGGTGAGCGGGGGTGGGCCTGCACAGGGTGCTGCCGCGGGTCTGCAGAGGAAGATTTGGAGTGGTCCATCTTCACTCGCAACACACCAACTGGTCTGCTTCTGTCTGGAGCCTGCAGGAGCCTGGGTCTCAGACTTTGGGCAGGGAAATGCGCAGTATGGGAGTATGGAGGCAGAACGGGCTTTCTCCCTAAATTGTCTGAGGGTTTTTAAGCATCTCCATCCACTAAGTTGTTCATGAATATGCTGATGTCTACTGGCTGCCCTGACCCTACCCACACCAGCCGCTGACTTAGTGGCGACTTCCTGGGGCTCCTCTTCCTCTTCCATGAATGTTAGTCAGTGCCCAGCGCTCAGGCGGGTGTGAGCCACAGCAGTGGTGGGCAGGCAGCAGGGGCTGTGCACCAGCATGTGAAACTCTCATCCCAAGTCACTCGGTGACGACATGGCCAGTGGGGCTGCCCAGGCAGCTCCAAAGATGGTAGCCCTACAGAGGGATCATTATAAAGGTAGAGCAGCAGAGAAAAATGTTTATCCTCCTTCAAACCAGCCATTACTTGTCATATGCATGGCTGGTTCTGGAGGCAGTCAGTGGCTTGGTGCAAGCAGAATGAAGGTATGTGTCGGGTCAGGTGAGGTGTGACCGGAGATAGCTGGGACCCATGGCACACAGCCTCGAGGGTCCTGTTGAGGGGTTTGAACTTCCTTCTGTAGACACTACGTAGCCATCAAAGGCTCTTAGAAACATGGCTTGGACTGTGGTGTAGAAGGTGGAATGGTGGGCTGGGGCTGAGGCAGGAAAATCCAACAGCAGCAGTTGGCTCCTGGTGAGAGATGGTTCATTGTGGGGTGTGAGCCGTAGTGTGGACAGGAGGAGGGGCGAAAGGATACAGGCTCCTCCCCAAAGCCCACTGTTTTAGCCTCCACCCTGTTTTTCTCCTGCCGGCTATGTGCCTGTTAGAAGGTAGTCATTCTGATCACACTTGCCAAGGCGAGCTCAGCTCGTCTTGCTCCCCTAGTTTTGAGTGTGTCTCAAAAGCTGTGTGTGCTTTCTCCTGGATTCAGCTGCGTTCTTTGAGACCAAACCTTCTAGAAGGCTTCTCTTCCCAGGTTCCCCCTGCATTTGGAGGTGGGGGGGCTGGGCTTGGAACTGTAAATGTGGACCACATTGGGAGGATGCCTCCTGTCCTAGCATCTTGCCCCTTATTTCAGGGACCTGGTAGACGAAGCAAAGGACTATCATCTCATGCCAGAGCGCCGGCCCCACCTGCCAGCTTTCCGGACGCGGCCTCGCTGCTGCACGTCCATCGCTGGGCTTATCTACGCTGTGGGAGGCCTCAACTCTGCAGGTATCTCGCAACTCCGCCTTTGCGGGGCACTGTCTTGGACTCTGTGGGTGAGGAAGCACCAGACACCTAGCCTGGCCCTTTGTCTCCTCCCCTTGCGTGTCACCTCCCCGTCTCAAATTTATTTAATTGTCCTGCTGTTAGAGCATGTTGATATTAATACCATCGAATCAATATGGGAGCAAAAGAGCCCTTTAGAAATCCTCGTGGTCTAGCCCCCTTCCGTTACAGAAATTGGGGCCCAGAGAACTTCCACCCTGTTCACATGAATTGGTTTTGACCTGAGCCAGTGTGCTTTTTGGTTTTTTTTTTTAGTTTATTTACTTACTTTTTGAGAGAGGGGAAGGGAGGAAGAAAGAGGAGAGAAACATGGCTGTGTGAGAGAAACATTGATCAGTTGCTTCTGACATGTCCCCAGCCTGGGACCTGGCATGCAACCCAGGCTGGTGCCCTGACTGGGAATCGAACCCGTGACCTTTCGGTTCATAGGCCGTTGCTCAGTCCACTGAGCCGCAGCAGCCAGGGCCAGCACTCTTTCCCTGACATCACATTGACTATGGGATGGGCTCCGCCCTGGATAGAATATAGTCAGAGACCCAGTTCTGTTACCAGGCAGATCCCGTTTGATCCCAAGGATCCCTGGGAGTCAGACTGCAGCAGTGCCACCCTAAGGATCATTCCCCAGAGCTTCCGCATCCGCCCCTGCCAGCAATGCTCTTTCCCTCCCAGCTCCTGTGATAAACACACATGTTGCAGTCTGTGTGCTGTCGGCAGCTCTTGTATCACACGGTCAAGTTTTCGGGGATGCTCCACTGGACCCCTGCCACCCTCCTTGCCAGGCACCATTGCAGGGCAGCAGAGACTTAGCAGAGAGGGCAATGCAGACACCTCAGTCCCGGCAGTACCGTGGCCCTGGGAGTCGTCACCTCCAGTGTGGAGGCCAGGCCTTTCCCCAGTGTCAGTTCAGCTGTTTGTGGGAGGGGGGCAATAGGCCGCGGGTTCAACCCCCAGTCCGGGTGCGGGCAGGTGCGATGCCCAGTCTTGCTGCACAGGGGAGGCGGCCAGTCGATGCTACTGTCTCACTCACATCAGTGTTTTCCTTCTCCCTTCCTCCCTCCAACAAAGCAGTGAAAAGTAATGCCCTCAGGTGACGGGGGGGGGGAATTATGTCTGCGGTTATTATGGCTGCAGTTTCTCAGTGGGCCCTTCCGGCTTCAGGTCCTGTGGGAAGAGCTGATAGAAAGTTAAACTTTCCATATAACCAGACCCAGCGGCTGTGATCTAAACGAGTGGTCTCATTTGTTTAAATTTGAGTAGCAAATTTTTATGCAGGTGACTCCCTGAATGTGGTGGAAGTGTTCGACCCGGTCGCCAATCGCTGGGAGAAGTGCCGGCCCATGACAACGGCCCGCAGCCGCGTCGGCGTGGCTGTAGTGAACGGGCTTCTCTACGCCATCGGGGGCTACGATGGCCAGCTACGGCTGAGCACCGTGGAGGTCTACAACCCAGAGACGGACACCTGGACCAGAGTGGGGAGCATGAACAGCAAGAGGAGGTATTCTGGAAGCCACTCGTGTGGTCCGGGGAGCACACACTGGGCGTCTGGCATGCCATCCCGACCAGCAGGGGCGCATAATAGAATAAAGCACAAGCTCTGGCCTGCGAACTCCCTGCAGCCAGGCCAGCCACCTGCAGTCCTCCAGCTGGGAGCGAGCCCCCACCCGCTTACAGTGATTTCCTGCCTTGTCCCGTGAGGAACTCGGGGAGACGAGTCATGGGTGTGTGGAAGTTGTATTGCTATTGGACTCCTGGGTGAGGCTGAAAACGTGCACGTGAAAGGTTCAATGAGGGAGAGAAGCTAGACTGGACCATCGGGGAGGTTGCAGAGAAGGGGGATGGACGTTGAAACTCAAGCATAAGCAGTGGTAAGAGGAAATCCGAGGTGTTTTTCTTTATACTTTGTTTTGCCCCGATCCCTGCCAGACATGTGCTCTCACTGCCTGGGAGCGTAGAACCCTGGCAGTGTTCGTCACTGCAGGACCGAGCCACATTCCCCCGCACCAGCACGTGGGCGCGCCAGCGAGGTGGCCGAGGTCACGGGCCTCTCACCACACCCTGGCTGCCTCACACATCCCTCCATCACAACTTGCCTGTTCACGTGTCCTCAGTCAGGATTTCAGGGCATCCAAATAGTGTCCCACTTAACCTTTTTCATGCCGAAGCGACAGGTGGCGTCTTTCCTGCCGGCAGACATGTGTGGAGCATTTACGCGGTTGGGCAGAGGGAGGCTGGAAGTGGACGGGCACTTCACTCCTCCGCCCTCGGCGAGGCCACACCGGATCAGTGGTTTTAACTGGAACCCCGACGTCTGTCTTCTAGGACTGGCAGAGGAGAGGAGGGCAGTCCGAGTTCCCTCCCCATCAACCAGCACAGCTCCGCACTGACCAATTTTCACATGCTGAGCTTCCTCGACCTGTACCCACCCATAGGGGGAAGTGGCATGAATTTTTTTTCGAAAGGGGCAGTTTGAAAACCACTGGACCAGTTGCTCTTTAAGGGCTTTGCTGAGCGTCTGCCTCCCAGACCGCTTTGTCTGGCCGTGCTGCTGGGTCTCCACGTGTAAGGTCATGTGACCACACAAAAAGGTGGAGTGGCTGCGTGTGTGGTGAGGAAGAAGAGGGGGTGTGGAAGGCCTAGGCCATGTGAAAGTGTCACGGCCGTGACACTGGTGTTCCACCTTCACCGGTGTTAGCACATGGCCTCTGGCCAGGAGGAAGCTGCCTTTGTACCAGTGAGAGCAGGTCCACAAAGGGTCGAGCTGGTTGGTTTGGGAGAAAGGACGGTGTGTGCAGGACCTGCTCGTCCCGAAGCAGCGAGCTGATGCGCCCACGTGGCTGTCCCCCCATCGCCACCTCGGCGCCGCCCCGCTGCACTCCTTTGGGTTCTCTGCAGCTTTCCGAGGCCTCAGCCGACTGCAGTCAGTTCTTCCTTGTCGATCTGCGCTGGGCCATGTCCCAGCTTTAATGTCGCGGGTTCGGAGAGTTCCCTGGGAAGAAAGCCCTCCCGGTGTCCATTTCCCCCGCTGCGGTCAACGCCCTGTTATTAGCAGGGTGGGCCCAGCTGCACTTCACCCCCTTTAAATTACAGGCTGCCTCAAACGTTCCCGGTCACTTCCCTCCTGACATCCCACACAGCTCTGTCCTGCCAGGCGCTGACGAGCTGCTTTCTGCCACCATTCCTTCCCCTTCTCCCGTCTTCCAGGCGGCTTCTCGGGAGATTTCTCCCTTGGACGACTCCGGTCCACGTCAGCCAGCATTTCCCCTGTCTCTTCACACCTCACCACTTAATTGGTAGTTAATCTCACCTAGTTTTGTGACACCTCATGATTTTTTCCCGTGTTTTATTGAACTTCTGTGTTACTTGTGTCCACTTCTAAAATGATAGTCACAGGTCTAGTGACTCGGTGGTCTTCCCACTGTCCTTGCCTAGGCAAGTCCTTCCTCTTCAGGGCGTCTGTCACCATGTCCCTCAACGGGACCTTGTGTGGACCAGGTTGACTCACTGTGTACATTTGAGAGGTGGCAGTAAGGCTGGTACAGTGCATTTTTCTGTTTGTCAGACACCCAGATCGATTTACAGTCTTCTCCAGCATTAGGTTTGAAAGCTGAATTGGGCAGCTTGGCATTCGTGTTTAATTTCTCCTGAGGCTTTGCTCAGAGCAGATTACAGGTCACGCCAGACCCCTGGGTCTTCGGTATGGGGAGAGCTTGGTGTGGTGAACAGCATGGGGGTGGGGCCCGTCTCTGGGCAGCGGGGGAGAGGAGCCCCGCCTCCCCGAGCCGCCCGTCACACGCTGGTGATGGTGGCAAATTGCAGGCGTAGGGTGTCCGACACGTGCAGCGTGTGCGCGGCAGGAAGAGCCATCCTGTCACCACTGCGCACACTGGGCCACGCAGGGCCGAGTGTGTAGCAACAAGACACTGGGTCTCTGTAGCAGACTGAAGGGGAAAGCCGGGTAACACGACAGTGTGTGTTGAGGGCCTGTCCATGCAAAGCGCCACACAGCACTCCCGGGATCGCACTGAGGAAGTGGGGGTCGGCAGAGGGTCGCTCTTGCTGAGGGATCAGGGTGGCTCTTTGAGGAGAGGGGAATTTGACCAGGGCCTGACGGGAAAGTTAGGCCGTGAGCTCAGCAAAGTAGAACAGGGGCACGTGAGCCGAATAAGGACTGAGAAGACCAGGGAGCAGGGAGACCCCAATTGGGGTAGTTGGGAGACAAGAGGAATCCAGGGCCGCTCCTTCGGCCTCAGTTTTACACCTTTACGTAGCCACATACCTGGGATTTAGGTCTGTTGTAGAAAGAGGCAGTTGGTGGGCAGGTGTCCTGTCACCTTCAACCAGGGTGAAGGTGGCCCGTCTGGGGTGACAGCTCCGTCTGTTTCAGTGCCATGGGGACGGTCGTGCTGGACGGGCAGATCTACGTCTGTGGGGGCTACGACGGCAACTCTTCTCTCAACTCTGTGGAGACCTACTCACCTGAGACGGACAAGTAAGGACTCCGTCTCCCCAGGGCACCTGGGGCTCGCTGAGCAGAAAGGATGGAAAGTTAGAACTGCAGCTTTTAAACGAGGCTTCCCCGTTGAGGACAGAGCATATCTTAACCTTCTTAGCCCCAATAGAATCTTGTATGTAATAGGCATTCATTTAATAACCTTCGGTTAAGGGAATGAATGGTTAAGTACATTTTAGAAACAAATAGTCTGTGTAGACACCGGAAACATCTATTTAACATGCTGTACCTCTGAGCTAAATCAGCCCCGTGTAATGGAAATACAGACAAAAGAGGGTAAGGAATAGATGAACAGCACTTTCTAAAGTGGGTGGGGTCCGACTTGAAAAATATTTTTGAAGTTCCATGGTCAAATAAGTTGGAAGCATTGATGTCCGTGCCACCAGAGTCCTTGTCTTCCCGTAAGGCATGACCGAAAACCCTGCGGCAGAGGCCTGGTTAACCTCCTCCCATGTGACAACTAGCATCAGCTTATGGGGTTACTTGTAGACCGTTCTTGGGGAACACTGGCAAAGTTAGCCCAAATTTCCAGTTTCAGTATTTGAATTTTCACATTTTACGTAACAAAATATGAGCATATTAGTAGAATGGGTTTATCAGAGTGCTTTTAAGCCAATATTCCATTCATTGAACCAATTTATGACCTATCAGTCAGCAAGCTGAGTGTCTAAGATCGTTAAGTAGCAATCAGTCTGCTGAGCCACAGGTGCGTCACAACTGTCCTACCCCGGGGGCCTGTGTCTGGTACTCTTGGGCACAGTCTGATGAAGGCCTTCATCTTCCCCACGGGGAGAGGGGAGGCAAGGTTAGACCCATCGTGGGTAGCAGGTGGTGCTCATTCAGGCAGGGAGACAGCAAGAAGAGAGCCTTGGAGATAAGACAGTGCCAGTGTGACCACGGAGCAGGCGAGGGTGGCGTGTGGCCAGGGGGCGAAGCTGGCAAGTCGACCAGGATGGCGCGGTGAAGGACCAAGCAGTAAAGAACCGTGTTAGGGAACTTGGACCGCGCCTTAGCGGGAACAGTGAGGAGCCACTGGGGGGACACGCTGCTTGGGATCCAGGTGAGAATTGTCCAGATGCCCGGCTGCATGCGAGGGGGCTGCCGCAGTGGTCCAGACGAGAGGCCAGAGCCAGGGGGTGGGTACAAGCACTGAGCAGGAAGCAGACCAGCGGGGAACTGGTGACCACAAGAATGTTGAGGTTGGCGGAGAAGTCCTAAAATTGCTGAGTTTACAAGTATGGCAACTAGGTAGCTGGTGGTCCAGTTACCAGGACTGGGGAGTACAGGGGAGGAGCAGATCTGTAGACGGCGTTGTTCAGGGCATGCGGCCCAAGAGCCTCAGGGAGGGGCGAAGAGCAGCTGCAGGCCTGAAAGCTGGGTGAGAGGCAGCAGCTTGAGGAGGCCGCGTGCAGGGGCTGGGAGCAGTGGGGGGGGGGGGGGCTGCCCGGGGCCGGGGGAAGAGCAGCACAGTGCTCCCGGACCTTTCTGAGCTGTCTCGGGGACAGGGACACTGGATCTCATGGCTCCCTTCCTACTTTGGCTCTTTCCTGAAGGTGGACGGTGGTGACCCCAATGAGCTCAAATCGCAGTGCTGCTGGGGTCACAGTCTTTGAGGGCAGGATATACGTGTCGGGCGGCCACGACGGTCTGCAGATCTTCAACAGCGTGAGTCGGGGCTGCTCCTGGGCTGAGGGCTCCTCCTCCTCCTCCCGGCTCCGTCTCCGAGAGCCGGTCGGAACGGCAGCTCTCTGGGCAGAGCTTCTGCCTGCCCTTTGCTGGGCAGGGCATCAACTGCAGGTCAGAAATTCTGAGAATGGGAACCAGTGTGCACTGGGGAGGTGGAGTGTGGTCGCTCCGCCCCGGCCCACGTAGTTCTCCATCGCATGCTGCGTGAGACCTAAGAGTTCTGCCCAAAGTAGCGTCAGTTATACACAGAGTGTGACTTCGCAGACAGGTGTAGCCTTCTGCGTGATTGTTTGGAATAAAACCTTCACAGCCGTTTACTGGTGGTTGTTCCCCAAGAGGCTGTCAGTGCTGTGGTGGAATGAACGCACCTGGACAGGTGTCGGGAGGCCCGCCTCCGCCTGGCTCTGTCCCTGCGCAGCAGAGCAGCCTTGGGCAAGTCCTTCATTCCGTTTCTTGGATGCAACCAGGAGGGGTCAGAGTAGGCGCTCTCTTACCTGTCCCAAGAGCATAAGCCCAAGAGCAACTGAGGAGACAGTGTCAAAGCCACAGCCCATGCCGGCAGAGCTCCTTGTCCCTGGGCCTCCCGCTGGATTCTGACACCCTGTGGGCCGCCGTGCCCCATGTGGCCACCCGTGGGCTGAGCCTTGGCTCTGACCGTCCTGGGCTGTGCCTCTTTCCCTGCTGCAGGTGGAGCACTACAACCACCACACGGCCAGCTGGCACCCCGCAGCCGGCATGCTCAACAAGCGCTGCCGGCACGGAGCCGCCTCTCTGGGGAGCAAGATGTTTGTCTGCGGGGGCTACGACGGTTCTGGCTTCCTCAGCATCGCCGAGATGTACAGCTCTGCGGCGGACCAGTGGTGCCTGATCGTCCCCATGCACACGCGCCGCAGTCGCGTCTCCCTGGTGGCCAGCTCTGGGCGCCTGTACGCCGTGGGGGGCTACGATGGACAGTCGAACCTCAGCTCGGTGGAGATGTACGACCCAGAGACGGACCGCTGGACATTTATGGCCCCCATGGCGTGCCACGAGGGAGGGGTCGGTGTGGGCTGCATTCCTCTCCTCACCATCTAAGGCGGAGGCTGGCATGTGGTGGGGCAGGGATCTGGTACAGACACAGGCACTTCCTCCCGGGGGTGGTCCTTCTCGGGGGAGGCGCGGGCCAGAAGACCAGGCGACGTGTGAGCTCGCCAGAGGTACAGTTTTTCCAGGTGCTTAAGTCCTCCCTCACTGTGCTGCCCTGCGACCTTCAGGTCTAGGTCATCACAGTGTACAGCACGGGACAGAAGCCCGCCTGGGCCCCACAGCTGGTGACGCGTGACTGCTTTGATGGTCCACACGTACACAGGCTCCATCCAAGCCCGGGTCCCGCCTGCGGGCGGTCAGCCTTCCATCCGACACTCCTCCTCCCCTGCTGTCCTCCAGCCTTGTGGCCAGTTTGTGACGGGACGGCTGCAGCAGCCAAGCCTGTTGGAAGTCGGGTGTGGCTGGGAGAGGACGACACACCGAGTGTCCTCACTGCCTGCGGTGACACGGCTTCAGCAAGGCACCAGGTCGCGTACAAGCACCTCCTTTGGTCCTAAGCACAGGCTTCTGTCCTCGGTGGCGGGTGAGCGGGGAGAAGAGACAGGAGCGTTTCCTGCGTCCGGCATTGGGATTTCAGTGAGGTCTTCATCTTGTTCGGGAGAAACAGAAGAAAAAGAGATACTTGAAAGGAACTGAAGGAAATTTAAAGAAACACTTGAAAGAAAAATACCTTTTTTTTAAGTGAACAATTTTTGCAAGAAGAAAACATTAAAAAAAAAAAAGACACTAAAGGGGAAATATGGGTTTTAAATAGAAAACCACCCAGCATGAAAAGGGCGGTGACCACTCCCCACATTCGGATCCCAGGGTCCTGAGGCCTGGCACAGCACTTGGGGTTCCCTCTGAGCCCCAGTGTGTCTGGAGTCGGTGCACTCGACTGGTCCTGTAGCCAGGTGCTCACGGGCTTGTCACACCCAGCATCAGAGGACGTTTTTAATTGTAGGCTTAGTGACAGCTGGATTACTGCCGCTGTTGGGGGGGGCTCCCAGTTGGTTGCTGGGAGCTTCGGGTGTTCCGTGGGGACCTCCCACTGCCACCAAGGCTTCATGCAGACTCCCCCACCCCTGCTTTCATGTCTTTCTTCCTCAACCAGCAGGGAACAGCTGGTCTGGCCAGACCCTCACTTGCTCGTCTGTCACTCCTGGACAGCTGTTCCCATTGTGACGCTTCTGGGCACGTCACCTTCGCACCTCTGGAGCCCAGCCAAGGACTTGGTCCTCCCACCAGCCACAGGTGGGCGTGGCCCAGTAACCTCGTCTACCTGCCAGTCCACCGCTCCTCTGTCCACTTGCCAATTCCAGGGGCCGGGCCTCCCTCCAACCCTGGCAGGCTGGTCAGCAAGCTGGACCTTTACACTCGAGCAGGGTCAGCTTTACAATAAAGTGAAGGCCCAAGGAATCTCTTGCTGCTGCAAAGAACAGATTTTGTGTTTCTTCTTCTGATCCTAGCAAATAACCTCTGGAGACACCCTGAACTCCTTCCTCCTCCCTGAGTGGGACCTCCATGTAGCACAGCAGGGCCAGAGCAGGAGACACCGAGTGTTACCGATGCCCTGGGCAGCGGGGCCGTCCTCCGACCGCTGCTGCCAAACCTGGTGTGCTCCAGTGCTTCCAGGGAGCTGAGAGGGTGCAGTTGTTTCAGTGCAAGACGAGGTCACAGGGTCCCCATCTCCCCCGGTGGTTTGTGCATTGCTGCCTGCCAGAGTAGGCTGGAGGCCTGTTCAGAAAGGCCCAATGTGGGGCCTGAGATGTCTTCCACCCTAGGACTGTGAGGGCTACAGGGTGTGCCATCGCCATGGACCAGAGGGAAGTACCTCTGTTACCTGCCACGTGGGCACTGGGCCTCTGTTACAAGCACTTGAAAATGATGTCTTTTTTTGTTTTTAATGACTCAACACTCAGAGTTTGGCCTGAGCTCCTGGAGGAGCTCTGACATTCCTCCCTCCCTCCCTCTCAGTCGCCTGCACAGAGCCTCTGCATTTCCCCGCAGAGGGCGGTGTGCCAGCGCTCGTCTCACTGTAGTCCCCCGTCTTCTGTGACTCTGAAGCCGCACAGACTGGGCCCGGATTGGGAAGGTGTCAGTGGGCTGGTGAGTCAGCCTCACCCGGTCTCTGGGGTGCAGGCCCAGATTCTGCCGGGGGGGCAGTGGGTCATTGTCCTGTGACCTGCTGCTCCTGTAGCGGCCTTCCAAAGCCCACTCCCACCCTGTGGTGTGGAAGTCACAGTGCTGCACCCAAGGGCGTTTCCAAAGGAGACGAAGCCAGCACCTGGGCCTGGACTCTGAGCACAAGTGCACAAACAGCACTTGCACACTCACCACCGTCGGTGCTCAGGCTGCTGGCCGTTTGAGGACGGCTGGTGTGGCCCTTTGGTGTTGGAGCCCTTCCTGTAGCACCGTGAGAAGGAGACACATCGCCCGTGGGTGCTGTGGGAGGGTATAGGACAAGGAGGCGGGACAGTACTGCGCTCAGTGGGCTTTGGTCCAGCCCAGCTCTGAGAGAGCACTGTGACCTCCTCTGTCCTCGGGCTTGTCCCCTAGGTAATGCATGGGTTCATCTGAGCTCAAGCCAAGATAGAGCAGAGGACCGGCCTTTCAACTTGGCCACAGACATGTGAGTGGGTGGAGATTCCGCACCTTCCCTGTCTGTTTCTCAGAAAATCTTTCTTCCTTTAATTTATAGAACGCATGTCTTTTAAGAAACCAAAGAGAAATAAAGAGAACACTTCTAATATCTTCTTGCTCTTTCCTGATTTATTTTCTAAGTACCTGTTAGAAGTAAATAATATTTTCATTGTAACTTGGTGAAGGAAATACAGTGGACAAAGTAAGGATATGCCTGTGAAAACAAGGGGAAAGCCAGGTACAGCAGAAGCAGTCCTTGGCCGGGCACGTGTGATTCATAAGGACGGGCTCTGGCGAGAAGCGCGCAGAAGACCTCAGCGCAGTGCACGTTCGCCCCCATCCAGGCCGCCACAGCCCCCCGTGCCACGTGGCTGCCGCCTGCTGCAGGCAGAACCTGGCCCAGCTCCTCTCACTCCAGACCAGAGGCACTTAACTTCAGTGCACGGAAGTCACAGGGGAAATCTTTTTTTTTTTTAATTTAATTTTTATTGAATTTATTGGAGCAACATTAGTTAATGAAATTAGGTTTCAGGGGTACAGATCTGTAACACATCATCCGTACATTGTGTGTCCACCACTCAAAGTCAAGCCTCTGTCCGTCACCCTGGATCCTCGCTCTACCCTCCCCTGCCTCACTGGAGAATTCTTAAACCACAGACTCATTTGGAGATGCCTCCCCAGCGCCGATTCCCTGGGGCTGGGGTGCAGCTTGGGGACTCTGGTGTGGTCAAGTTTCCACTTGAGAACCAGGCTGCATCCAGATCTGCCTTCCTGAGGTCGCTTCCTGGTTACTGGGTTGTGGGTATTCCAAAACGCTTCATTCACAGTTGTCCAAATGTTAGCTTATGGTCAGGTTCATCTGTTTGAGTAACAATTACACTTGGATGGCAACTTTTTTTTTATCAGTTTTGGGAAGGGCGTGACAGTCCTACATTGTCCCCACCCGCACATGTTTGACACATAAACACTGTTGGTTGTCACCTGCTCTTCTCAGGAGTCCCCACAGAGGAAGCAGTGTGGCACACATTAGTATAAAGAAATAGCCTCAGGAGGACTAACTGACCTGGTTCGACTATCTGGTAGTACTGTCAAGAACCGAGACCAGATCTCCACACTGTCACGTTCACCTGAGCAGAGCAGTGTCTTTGACCTTGGAAGCAGCTGGTCATCCAGCCTCCACACCTAGTGTGTGGAGGTCCGTGGCCCTGTGTTATGATGGACTCGGGAGAAGCAGCCCGGGCAGCGAGGGGAAGAGACAGAACCACGTGCAGGTCACAGAAGCAGGCACTTCCAGGGCAGCTGGGGTATCTTTGGGCTCGATTGTGGGAGAAAGGACAGGTGCCTACAAAGTAGTAACAGCTCTTTTTTTTTTTTAATTTTCCAGAGAAAACAGCTGTTTCCTTCCTAACTGGTCTCTCATTTGCCCTTGCTCTCTTGTCTGGGCATGCTCACCTCTCCTTGTCTCAGAATTCATCTCTGTCACTCTTGTATGGCCCCCTGCACCTCCTTCTAACTTCCAAATAGAGGAGGCCTCGGAGCGGCCCTGAGCTCTGGCTGCACCCCACGCCCTTCCCTAGCGGACACCCCCTCTGCCGTGAGCAAGGAGGGCCTCTGGGCGGGGTCTTCTCTCTGCACCCTCACAGACGTGCACGTCCACCCGGTACGTCCCAATACGACCAGGTCCAGCGTGGAACCCCGAACGGTGTCACCCCCTAGCTTTGCCCACCCTCACAGTGCACATCTTCTGTCTTCCCAGTTGCTCACGCAGGAACCCGGTGGAAAGTTATGGAGGAGGGAAGGGATGAGAGCCCTTCACCCTCAACTTCATCGGGCCAGCCATGACCTACTCGTGTTAATTCTACTTCCAGTCCAGTTCTGTCCTCTGCTTCCGTGCCAGCTCACACCCTCAGCACATCCTTCATGCCTGGACCACCACCGTGGCCTCGTGAGGGTCTCCTGCGTCCGCCTGTGTGCGCCCTGCAACCCGCGGTCTGCGGGTCAGCCGACGCGAGGGTGTAAGGCTGTACATCAGACCGTGTTGCTTCCCTGCTCAGGTCCCTCCAGAGGCTCCCCAGGGCCTCAGGCCCTATTCTGTTCGGGGGCACTTCAGACACAGCTCCCCTAGGAGATAAGTAAGATGTGTGGTGCCCGGTGATGGAGGGTCTGGGGAATGTAGCCCCTCCCTCCCAAACAGAGCTCTCCTTGGTTCTTTTTTTTTAAAGGTTTTATTTATTTATTTTTAGGCAGAGGGGAAGGGGAGAGAGGGAGGGAGAAAGAGAGGGAGAGAAACATCAGTGTATGGTTGCCTCTCACATGTCCCCCAACTGGGGACCTAGCCTGCAACCCAGGCATATGCCCTGACTGGGAATCGAACCTGCAGTCTTCTGGTTTGCAGGCCAGCACTCAATCCATCGGTCCACACCAGCCAGGGCACACTTAATCACTTATTTCAGAAATATTTGATTGTCACAGTGACTGGGCAGGGAGCAGGGTACTCAGGGTCTTGTACAAAAGGGACACCCCTCCCAGGAGCACCTCACCGATAAACTCATTCCACTGCCACCTGCAGCTGGCTCTGCAGGGCACAGCTGTGAGAGTGCACGGTGCCGTCTGGCCACGTGGTTTGAGGGTTGTGGATGCTCTGATGAGGAATGAACACTTTTGCCTAGGGGAGAGCAGGGAGGCTTCCTGGAGGAGGTGACTTTGGACCTGTGCCTTGAAGGATGAGTAGGATTTACAGACACAGGATAGGTCAGAAGCCCAGGTGGAGGGAAGCAGGTGTGCAGAAGCAGAAGAATGTGGATGGGCTCAGACTCTGCAGGAAAAGGGGTGCTGCTGGGAACAGGGGAAGTGAACAGGGAGGAAGAGGAGGTGGTGGTGTGGATGCGGGGCCTCTCCACCTTCTCCAGCCCTAGAAATTCCTCAGGATACCGGCGATGATGTCATACTTGGCTTTCTCATACATGTCCCTAACCACAGCTGGCACCTTGGAGCTGTCGAAATCTGGAGTGGCTGCCCCAGGGGACTCAGCAGACCGCTTCTCCCGGACGACCTGCAGAAGTCATACTGGGCAGTCACTCCCACCACCCTCACCGATCGGCCACACCCCTACCGATCGGCCACACCCCTTTCCGGCCACACCCCTTTCCGGCCCTGCCTGAGTCCCCCCTCTCTCCAGGCCGGGATGAAGAGACTGAGGCCCAGGCAGGGACGATGGGGCTGGGGCTGGAGGTGGTCCTCCGTCGGGCCCACCCCCTTGGAGCCCAGAGGCTCCGGCAGGCCTGGACTTGGACTCACTTCCACTCCCTGGCCAGGAGGCTTCCACCTCTGGCTTCGGTTTTCCCAAACATGGGATGGGGAGGAGGATCAGTTTCCAAGGAGTCTTGCGCCTCAGAGCAGAGCCAGTGTCCTGCCTGAGAAGGCAGAGGGCCCCTCCCACCGCCCCCCCCAGCCCCCACTGCCAGTCTTTCCCTGCCTCCCCTCCTGCCAAACGACCCACCGTCCCTCAAAATCCCTCCCGACAACTTGTATTGAGGAGGCTCGATTGGCCCCATTCCTCAGAGGAGGAAACGGAGGCCCCACATGCCCAGGCCAATGGCTCACCTCTGGCTGGGGCCTTTGGACCCGAGGGCAGTCAACCGCCAGGACGCGGAAACGCCTAAGCCTGAAGAAGGTGCCGTTGCAGTTCCTCTCCTCCTGCAGGGCAGAGAGCCAGGAGCTGCAAGAGGTCCAGCTGACCCCTCCTACCCCCCACCCCGGGCATCCCCTGCCCTCCCAAAACAGCTGCGAGCTGAGGGTGGCCCCCGGGCCAGGGAAAGAACTGGAGGCCAGGCGCACAGTTCTTGTCAGTTACTCAGTGGGAATAGACATCCTTAAATTCGCCTGCCCCGGGGAGCCCTGTTTGTTTAAAACGGGTGCACACATTAAAAGACACAGAAGAGAGCTGACACACCCACGGATGGTGACTGATGGTGACCGTCCCTGGGCAGTGGGGCGGTGGGAAATGTTTCCCTTGTTTCATTTTGCTTCTCCAGAATTTGTTCATTTGCTGCCATAACATGTTATTTTTCTAATTTTATAAAAGCGGTTATCTAACATGCATGGTAGTCCTGCTTTTGTTCTGTCTTTATTTAGTAATATTTAGCATGTGTGGCTTATAATAAGGATTGAGAGTAATTTATAGTAAGAGAAAGCAATCAGGGGAAAACTGACTTTGAAAAAGGCTGCAATGGTGAAACCTATCTGGGCCAGGTGAGGTGCATGCGGGCCAGCACGCAGCCCCCTCAAAGCGGAGGGCAGAGGACCCCTGCCTCCAGCTGCGAGACTCACCCCGCCGTCCTTGAAGGGGCATTCCTGCGGCTGCCGCTGCCGCGGCCGCTGTCCGGAGAGGCACTCCGTCTCTTTAACCCTGAAGCTGAGCAGCGTTGTGGTGGTGGAGTTCTACAGAAGCAAGAGAAACTGATCATCTCCCTTTTACAGACGAGGGGGCAAAGGCAAGAGAGGTCACAGTTACAGGCTGGAAGGGGCTGAGCCGAGGCCTACGCTCTCCACCAAAACCAGGGGCCTCCTCAAGTGGCCTCAGCAGACACTCAAGGGCTGCGGAGCTTTTGGAAACTAGCCGAAGGGTACCACTTCATCCCTGTCCACCTGGGGGAGTCACTGCTGGTCTTTGCCCCTCCATGTCCTCTTCATGAAGCAAGCACAAGAATGCCAGCCTTGCTTGCTGCCACACAGGTGACTCGGCCAGAAGGGGCACTGGAAGCCCCTGGGGAGGCTCAGGTGAGACCAGCACCATTCATGCCTGGCCTTCAAAACGGTCCTGCATGTTCCTTCAACCAGGGCCTGAGTGCAGGCCAGATTCCCAGACTCCCCACACTTCGCACCTGGGAGAAGCCCCGAATCTCCCTGCTGTGCCTGAGATTACAATCTTTCCTTACCTTCCTGTGGGAGAAACATTATAACAATAATAATAGCTGGAGTTAATCAAGCGCTTTGGGCTGCATGGGACATTCTCTCCTGCCTGCTACCCTCGCAGGCTACTGCAGGCAGGTGCCCCCAGCTTCCCCCGCCTGGGGCCATGGACACTCACCTTGCCAGCTGGTGGGATGACTTCCAGCAAGCGGAAGAGGGGCTTTCCTGGGCGTCCATAGTTGAAGACCCGCAAAGCCTGGGCGACGATCTCCTCGTAGCTTTGGCGTCTGGCCACACAGGCCATTACTGCCACACCTGCCATCAGCAGGAGTGCTCGCCAGGCCCCTGCCATTGTCCCTCCTCTGATCCACTGCCACTTGCTGTCCCTTTTAGGTGCTACTTGGACTGCCTTGCCCAAGGGCTTCTGGCGACATACAGGGCTGGTACCTTCCTGAAAGGGGCCTCTCCTCTCCTCCCCTTTCCTTTGCCAGACACACACTGTTGGCCAATGTTCTGAAATACTATTGGCTAAAAAGCAAGCAGGTTTGGGCAACAGGTCAGGGCCCAGGAGCAAGGGGAGAGTCCCGAGCTCCTGGAGGCCCGTGTGGTGTCGGGCAAGTCCCTTCCCTCTGGGCCTCAGTGTCCCCACCTGTACCACGAGGAGGTTGCCTCCAGCTCTGACAGTACCAGATACTGTGCCATCTCTGGCTGGTTTGATCCCAAAACTTCCATAATATGAAAGGTAACAGTTCCTCAGCTGAGTGCTCTGAGTGGGGGTGGGGGTGGGGCCTGTGTTTGGGTGGGCATCCACAGTGTTACATACATTGGAGAGGAGAAGGGAAGGAGAGAGGGAGAGAAACATCAATGTGTGGTTGCTTCTCATGTGCCCCCTACTGGTGACCTGACCCACAATCCAGGCATGTGTCCTGACTGGGAATTGAACCGGCAACCCTTTGGTTTACAGTCTGGCACTCAACCCACTGAGCCACACCAGCCAGGGCTGTTTTGTTTTAGAAAGGTAGGCCTTACAAGGTATGAGTTCAAAAGGTCAAGTTCTACTATGGCTGCACAAAAATCTTCCAACAACTCCTGCTTGATAATTGACCCAACGCAGCTTCAGGGTACAACTGGGAGCCCTGCCTCAGTGGAATGATTCCATAGACCCAGGTTCATATCCCACCTCTGCCACGACCCCACTAGTTCTCAGTCCATCTCTCTGGGGCGGGATTCAGTGTCCTCACCTGTAAAGCAGGGATAACAACTCTGACCTGGTGACGGAGGGAGCATTAAAGCTGCTGTGGGTGGAGGGCCTGGGGCAGCACGCGGGGCAGAGGAAGCCCCAGGTGTGGTGGCTTTGAGGGCAGTGAGGCTCAGGGTGCAGCTGAGACCGTTAGCAAGCGCAGAGCTCGTACCTCTCCTGGCTCTGAGCAGGGGACGGCCACCAACCCAATTTTGCAGACGAGGACAGTCAGGCACTGGGAAGTTAAGAACTGGGCCTGGCACAGAGCTGGTTCAGTAGAGAGGCTGGGAGGGGCCGGGCTACCAGATGAGGGTAGTGGCACCCCCACACAGCTCTGCCATCAGTGGGGGGCCGCAGGTCTCATCCTGGTCCTGCGAGGGCAGGACTCCTGGTGTCCAGGAGGGGGTTTCTCCAAGACACACCTTGAATGTGACCTGTGGCCCGCGGGAGGGGGAGGCTCTAGAGGACAGCCACAGGACACAGGGAGCAGGAAGCGGACACTGGGGAAAAACCTCCACCTGCAAGAGGCAAGAGCTCCCCTTCAGGTGAGCAGACCCAGCCGCCACGCTGCGCTCAGCCAGCAGCACAGGCAGCCGAGACCTGCGGCTCCCTCGGAATGTCCCCACACCTCCCGCGCCTCTTTGAGAAGATGTGTTAGGCAAAACGCTTTCACAAGCGCCGGAGGATTATGAAGAAAGAAGCCTGGCGGGCCCTCGATCAAGCCTCTGCCCTTCTCGGCCCTCAGCGTACCTCTTGCTCTAGCGGAGTGGTCGGGAGGCAGGCAGATAAACTGGGACCCTTAGCCCTTGCCCAAGTGGGATGGCGAAAGTGGTTGTGTCCCCATTGGTCCCATGGGGACACACACCTAATGTTCCAGAACCAGTAACATGACACAAGTTGCCCCACAGACACGTTGGCTGAGAAGGACCTGGCATCTGAGGGTCACAGGTGACCCCAGCCCTGCCCCAGCAGGTTTGGTGCCCCTGGGTTGGGGGCCACCCGTGTCAAGGCTCTCATTGCAAGAGGCCAGGATGTCTTGCCCAAGAGTTAAGCCTGGTCCCGAACAACAACAGCTTAATTTCACATCTACTGGGCTTTTGTGCAGCCAGTGGCCCCCCAGGCTGTGGCTCTGGCGGCCTTTGCTGGCCAAGTGACATCCGAGAGCTGGGAGGGACTCTGTTTCACCGTCGGCCCCCAAGGCCCCTCACCTTCGTGCATGTGTGCAAACCTGTGGTGCTGCAGCCTTTTCCAGGGAGAAGAACACCAGTGCTCCTGGGTTCTTGGAGGGCCCGGGATGCTCTGGAGGGGGAGGGGGGAGCGCTGTATCACTGAGCAGCTCTCCCTTGCTGCTCCCACGGGAGCCTCTTTCTGGGCCAAAGGTTGGGGGGGGCCTCAGAATCCCCTCTCCAAGCTCCAGGAGCCTGGTGGTGGCTGGGAGGGAAGAGACCCAATGGGGACTTTTCAGCTCTGGCGACCAGTTTGCCGGGTGAGACCAGACGAGTTCCCTCCCCTCCCTCTCTCCTCCCATCCTTGCTTTCCCTTTCCTCCCTGCCTTCCTCTGCCCATGTGGCGTTTTGAGCAGCCCCCTTCCATCTCCACACCTCAGTCTCCCCACCTGTATTGCGATGATTCTGGTTGTCGTCCAAGGGAGGGGGCGGCAGAGGAGGCTCCCAGGTTCCTGTTTGGGCGGCCGTGAACACTGCTGCTGGACACACCGCCTGGCACTGTGGGCAGTCTGTCCAGAGTCTGCGGACACCCAACAGTGGGGCACAGGGGCACGAGGAGTCAACTCGTCTGGACAAGGCCAAACCGTTTCCAGAGTGGTGGCACCGCTCACAGCTCTGTCCACCGCGAATGAGCGCTCCTGTTGCCCTGCACGCTCACCACCAGCGGTCTTGGCCAACTCACTCGTCTGATGAGAATAAAGCAGACTTTCGTCAGGTTCATCATCACCAAGCCCTCATTATATGAAATGCTAAAGGGACTTACCTAAGAAAAAGAAGATAAAAAAGATGAACAGTGAAAGGACAGCAAACTCACAGTTATGAACAACCACACCTAAAACAAAAGCAAACTAAGAGGACAGCTAGATCAGGAGCAGAACCATAGAAATGAAGATCACGTGGAGGGTTAGCAACAGGGGAGTGGGAGGAGGAGAAAGGGGGAGAAGGTACAGAGAATAAGTAGCATAGACGGTAGGTAGAAAATAGATGGGGGGAGGGCAAGAATAGCATGGGAAATATAGAATCTAAAGAACTTGAGACACATCATAAACTAAAGGGGGAATGGTGGGGGAGGGGTGTGCAGGGTGGAGGGAAATGAAGGGGGGAAATAGAACAACTGTAATGGCATAATTAATAAAATATTTTTTTTTTATTTGGTTACTTTTCAAGTACATTTTTTTTTCCTCTTCCCCCCCCAATAAAATATTTTTTTAAAAGACTTTCGCGTGGTCTGGGTTTGCATTTCCCCTGCTCCCTGGTGAGGCTGGGTGTCTTTCCCTATGTTTTTGGCCGTTCCTGTAGGAGACGTGTGTCCATTTTTTCTTTCTTTCTTCTTTCTTTCTCTCTCTCTCTTTTTCTTTCTTTCTTTTTTGTCTTGAGAACTCATCAGAGTTCTTTACATATTCTAGATGGTAATCCTTTGTTGGTTATGTCTCACAAATATTTTCTCCCAAATTGATCTTGTCTTTCCACTTTGTTTGTAATACCCTGTTTTTCTTTCAACTTTTTATTTTGATATTTCAGACTTACTTAGAAATGTTGCAAAAGAATTTCTTCATTCCCTTTACCAAAATTCCCCAAATGTTCACATTGCACCAGATCTGTGTCCTCCTCTCCCTGTGTGTACACACACACACACACACACACACACACACACAGAGCATTCTCTCTGCCTCAGCTGCCCTGCCTCCTCGCTGTTCCCAGGCTGCCAGGCTGCACTGTTCTCTCTCTTGAACACTGTTCCCCTCACTATGACCCTGGTTTGCTCCTCCACTTCTTTCAATCTCTGCTGAAAGGCGTCTTCTTAGTAAAGCCTTCCGTGATTGCCTGAGGTCAAAGACACAAAATTGCAAATGTCCCCTTCCTCATATTCCCACCCTCAAAAAAAAAGATGTTATTTATTTATTTAAAGGGAGGCAGAAAGAGTGGAAGAGAGGGAGAAAGAGTGGGAGAGAAACATCAGTGTGTGATTGCCTCTCATGTGGACCCCACTGGGGACCTGGCCCGAAACCCAGACATGTGCCCTGACTGGGAATTGAACACGTGACCCTTTGGTTCACAGCTGGCACCCAGTCCACTGACCGGCCAGGCCCCACCCTCCTTTTCCTTGTTACCATGGATAGCGGTTATGCCATCTACTTTACTGTATATTCTTTTTTTAAAAGATTTTATTTTTAGACAGAGGGAAAGGGAGGAAGAAGGGGAGGGAATCATCAATGTGTGGTTGCCTCTCACACACCCCCTACTGGGGACCTGGCCCAGTACCCAGGCATGTGCCCTGACTGGGAACCGAACCAGTGACCCTTTGGTTCACAGGCCAGTGCTCAATCCACTGAGCCACACCAGGCAGGGCTACCGTATATTCTTTATTGGGCTAAGTCTATCTCCCCTCACTAACTGTGGCCTCATGAGGGCAGGGATCTTTGCCTGTTTTATGCAATAGCTCCTAGAACAGTGCATAGCGCACAGCTGAGTAAATATTTGTTGAATAAATGAACCTGGAGGGAAAAAACCCAGTTTCAATCCGGCCTCTTCCATTCACTTGCGGGGATACCTGAGTGGTCCACTCCCTAGTCCAGTGCTCAGTTTCCATGTCGGTAAAATGGGGGAGGGTGTCTGTGTGTATCTGAGGCCCTCCCAGCTCACCAGGTGTGACCGGGGAGGTTGTCTTAAGAAAGAGAACTGGATGGGTGAATGGGTGTGTGCTGCCCCCTTGTGATGGTGTCTGTACTCACCCAGTCTTAGGCTTCCCCAAAGCCTCAACTCTGCCCATCTCTGAGTAAATATGAGCACCAGGACCGCACCCTTTACCCTGGACTCCTTTCTGCTGTCTCACCTCTGCTGGCCCATCCCAACCCCATTGCCTAGTGTTCAAAGTCAAGGCCCTCCTCATAGGGCCTCTTGGTCTTCGATGCCTCTCTCACCAATTGCCCTTCATGTCACTGTGACCCTGGGTTATGGGCTGAATTGT